GGCAGTGGTTCAGCCTGATTTGAAAGGGGAATATCTGCCTTGACTTTCTCTAGTGCCTGCCCTAAGAATAAAAAGTGTTGTGGAGAAAGGTATTCCTTCTTCCTCTCATCAGGCCTACCATTAGGCATTTATTTGTAAGAAGGTGCCAGCCCCCGTCACTTCATTAGGATTCCAGGGTGTTCCTAAGACAGACTATCACTGCTAGATGGCCACAGTTTAGCTACTTCTTAAAGATCTTGGGAAAGTAGTCAATATTAAAAAAAAAAAAAAAAAAAAAATTAAGGTCTAATTTGCATACCTTTTTTTGATTACATGAAATATGTCTCATGGGAGAAGTTGTTTGACTTTAGTATGCCTGTTCTCTTTTACCGGTTTAATTTCCACATGAAAGTTTAGCCTGATAATGGGATAAGAAAGCTGAAGTAATGAAGTTGGTCCCATAAGGCATACTAAATGAATGTCAAACTCCTTAGCTGGATAGTGCAGGCTGTTCACAGTCAGGCCCCAACCTGCGATTCTCTGAGGCCCAGCAAGACTTGGATGCACAGCTGATCCCTGAAAATACCCTGGGCTTCTTGCCTCCAGACCTTTGCTTACACTGTTCCCTTTACCTGGAAGGACCTCTCCTCAGTTCTACCTTTTGAAATCCTAAATCTTCATTGAGAACCAATTCAAAAAGCAGTATCTCCTTGCAGCTTCCCCAACTAGATGTGATTTGTAGTCTCTGTGAATCCTTTTAGGCCTTGGTTTGTCCTCCTTTTGGGCTTCCTGCTACAGCATCCTTAGTATACTGTACCCTCTGTCAGCTAGTAAGCTCCACAAGACCATCAACTTTTCTTTTGTATGTCCCATGTGTCTAACACATACTCCACATAAAGAAGACTAGGTATTTAAATAGTGGAAAAATGGTATGTTTTCTACACACATAGCAGAGTGGAGAATTAGCTTTTTTTTTTTTTTTTTTTTTTTTTAAACGGAGTCTCACTCTGTTGCCAGGCTAGAGTACAGTGGCGACCTCAGCTCACTACAACTTCTGCCTCCTGGGTTCAAGAGATTCTCCTGTCTCAGCCTCCCAAGTAGCTGGGACTATAGGTGCGTGGCACCATGCCCAGCTAATTTTTGTATTTTTAGTAAAGATGAGGTTTCACCACGTTGGCCAGGATGGTCTTGATCTCTTGACCCCGTGATCCACCCACCTTGGCCTCCCAAAGTGCTGGGATTACAGGCGTGAGCCACTGTTCCTGGCCAAGAATTGGCTTTAAAAAAAAAAAAACACACGTGACTATGACTTAGGCTTTATGAAATGTTCTGAGATAAAAGAGCCCTGGTCTGAGAGTCACTCACTATGCAGTTCTAGATGAGGCCGTGTGCATATCTGGGCCTGCTTTTCATTGACTTTGAGGACGTTTTCTAGCTCTTAGTCAAACAAAATTTCAGCAGGAAAAAAGGGGCAAAGTAGATTTAGAGAAAATCCACATCATGGGTTTGGGAAACAAATCAAAGTTATGACAAAGGAAGGGATTGTTGAGGGAATTGGGAATGTTTAGCCTGGTAGAGAAGATCTAGGAAAGACCCAGACTCATTAAATACTACAGCTGGAAAGAAACTTAGAGAATATCTAAGGGATTTCCTTTACTAAATAGAAAGTTGGACAAAATGACCTCTGAGGCTCCAGCATTCTGCAAAATTCTTTTTCTGTTTGCAGTTCTGACTGATAGAAAAGGAAATTCTTGTTCATTTTCTTGCATTCTCAACTGCAAATAATAGTCTAGTTCAGAATCTCGAACTTCAGATACGACATTTCTATGTCTTTTACAAACCTATAGCTTAAAAAAGCATTGTCTATCCTTTTCATATTTCTTGTTCATTGAGCATTCATGAATTCATCAAACAAAATCCAGATAGACTTGGGAACCATTTTTTTAATTGGGAAATTGGAGTTGGACAACTTCCTTTTTTGCCTTGTTTGCCAGGGAACTTAGAGCCAAACGTGGTTCTTCGTCTGAAGTAAATGACTCAAACCAGTGCTTATTATATCTATTTTCCCACTTTTTTTTTTAATTGACTTAATGTTTTTTGAAAATTGTGAAAGGAACACATGCTGTGGTTAAAAAAACAAGTCCGAATAGTACAATTCCCAATGTGCAGAGTTAACTACTGGCAAAATCTTTTTGACTTTGATCAGTGTTTATTTTGGTTTTTACTTCGCTTGTGCTGTATGTATTTTAATTATTTTGTTTTGTTTCGTTTTGTTTTCGAGATGGAGTCTCGCTCTATCACCCAGGCTGGAGTGCAATGGCACAGTCTCGGCTTACTGCAACCTCCGCCTCCTAGGTTCAAGTGATTCTCCTGCCTCAGCCTCTCAAGTAGCTGGGACTACAGGCACCCACCACCACACCCGGCTATTTTTTATATTTTTAGTAGAGATGGGGTTTTGCGATGTTGGCCAGACAGGTCTCGAACTCCTGACCTCAATTGATCTGCCTGCCTTGGCCTCCCAAAGTGCTGGGATTACAGGTGTGAACCACCACACCTGGCCAAAAGTAAACTGTTACATTAATTTTATTTGAAACTCAGATATTTAAAAAATTACAAACAACTGGATTCCAGGCATGGAGAAAATGTGTTTACATCAACTCTACCTTATACACTTCACCTTGTTACTGCTGTTGCCAAAGGTCAAACATGGTTCTGGAAAGTGCTAAAATGTATCTTGTGTTTTAAACTTACAACTAGTAAACTCTGCCTTCTAATCTTACACAAATTCATTCTAACTCTCCTAATTCATTTTATTTTATTTTTTTTTAGACAGAGTCTCGCTCTGTCACCCAGGCTGGAGTGCAGTGGCGCAATCTTGGCTCACTGCAACCTCTGCCTCCCAGATTGAGATGATTCTCCTGCCTCAGCCTCCCAAGTAGCTGGGATTACAGGCGCATGCTACCACACCAGGCTAAATTTTGTATTCTTAGAAGAGACTGGGTTTTGCCATGTTGGCTAGGTTGGTCTCAAACTCCTGACCTCAAGTGATCTTCCTGCCTCAGTCTCCCAAAATGCTAGGATTACAGGCGTGAGCCACTGCGCCCAGCCTCCTAATTCATTTTAACGTCTTCCTTCCTTCCCTCACCAAAGCAATTTGTGTTTAATTCAAGTTCTGTTCTTTTCCTTACTATATTTGTTCTAATCTTTGAAACCCATAATGACATCCGGTGTTTCTCATTGTCACTGAGAATGAGGTTGCTTCATGACGCTCTTCTTAGTAGGAGTGGCTGACAATGTCTTCTTTGCTTTAGGAAATGCAGGACTCAGGCAGTGAGAATACATTCAGTTTTGATTCTGTCACACAGACCCTGGAATGCACCTTTCGGACAGCACCTCCTTACTGCTTTGAGTGTGTAAATTGAGGGAAATAAAGGGCTTTTTGTTAGAGTTTAGATATTTTCATTTTCAAATCGTCTGACACTGATTTTTAAGAACTCTGTTTCAAGAATTTTAAGCAGTAGATGGGTATTTCACTCTTCGTGGCTTTACTACATCCTATCTCATTTGGGTTTACATATGGTAAAATAGTGTGTTTTACTTGCAGCTTCCAACGTAGCCAGAGGTCACAGTATTGCAGGTAGAAGTCAAAGTCTTAGAACTAGATTTTGGGCTGTGTGTGCAAAGGTGTGAAAACACCTCTATTAACAGAGAATATGAAGAAGACAGCCTAGATTGCAGGTAGAAAAATACAAACTTCTCACTGAAATCACCCATTTGTGGTAACCCCATATGAAGACAGGTTCCACTGGATGTGAAAAGTAGAAACTTTTTTTTTTTTTTTTTTGAGATGGACTCTTACTCTGTCGCCCAGGCTGGAGTGCAGTGACGCAATCTCGGCTCACAACCTCCGCCTCCCAGGCTCAAGTGATTCTCCTGCCTCAGCCTCCCAAGTAGCTGGGAATACAGGCGTGCACCACCACACCTGGCTACTTTTTGTATTTTTGGTAGAGATGGGGTTTCACCATATTGGTTGGCTGGTCTTTGAATTCCTGACCTCAGGTGATCCACCCACCTCGGCCTCCCAAAGTGCTGGGAATATAAGCATGAGTCACTGCACCCGGCCTCCTGAGGCTCTTTTGATGTGTCACTCCTCTCAGATTTCCAGGGGCCACTGGATTGGGTCTATTCAAGGGCTTCCAAAATTTGCCCCACACCTTTATTTCCAATACCATTTCCTAGGACTTCTTACAGCAGCCAAGCTGGTATCCTTTTCCACAAGCCTGTATGGTATAGCTCTCTCCCCACCTTCTCCCATTTCCCTTTTATGTCTTTACTCTGCATCATTTATAGCATGTCACAACAGCATGTCTTGTCAGAGGACCTGGGTTCTGTACCAGGTTAGTTAGATGTGTGACCTAGGTCAAACTATTTTTCTTCCCTGAGCCTCTGTTTCCCCACATGTAAGAGGAAGAGACTGCACTAGGTGACTTCTAGGGTTCCATTGGTTCTTTTCAGCCCTACCATTGTGTGGGTCAGCGTCAGTGTTAGCTTTTTCTTTAGCTGCCCGAAGAAACAGGGCCCTTTCTTTTGTGTTTCAGCAGTGTTTACCAGTCATTGTTTGTGATTGAAGTTAACGTTTTTTGTCCTCTCCTTAGCTACTTTTTGAAGATATGTTTGTAAACTGAGAAAGCTCCCTGCTATAGCTAGTTTCCTATGTGGGTGAGAGAGGGCTACTGAGCAAATTCTACTTTGGACTTTTATCTTGCATCCAGGAGCCAAGAGGAGATGGGGTTTGCAAAATATTTTCTTTTATGATTCTTATTGGGAGAATGAGATGTTTCTTTGAAAGGGGCGCATATTTACCACTTGGGCACAGAAGGAAGGATTTGTTCTCCTGGAGACATCCTTCTAGTATGCTGTAGGCTGCTATGTCTGCTGGGTTGGCCTTCCGTCTTTTCAAGGTGCCAGTGTCTTGCCATTTAGGATTGGGTGATTATTTCATCTTTCACTGTGCCTTTCAGGGCCCTGTTTGATTATGATCGGACTCGGGACAGCTGCCTGCCAAGCCAAGGGCTCAGCTTCTCTTATGGTGACATTCTGCATGTCATTAATGCCTCTGATGATGAGTGGTGGCAGGCAAGGCTGGTGACCCCACACGGAGAAAGTGAGCAGATCGGTGTGATCCCCAGTAAGAAGAGGTGAGTCGTCATGATCATGAGCAAGGCTTTTCCTGCCTCTTGCTGGTATTTCTTTCTTGTTTTCCTATTAGAAGGTGCTTGAGAGCAACATTTGTGCCTTCATTCCTTTTTGGTAGAGTTGATACTCAACATGGTTTTCACTCAGTGAGCCAAAAAATGGCTGCTGTGCCTCCTGCAACCCACTGCTGAGACCATTTACTGGCAGTAACAGGACTTCTTTCTGACTCCAAAACAGGGTGGAAAAGAAAGAAAGAGCTCGATTGAAAACTGTGAAGTTTCATGCCAGGACGGGGATGATTGAGTCTAACAGGGTAAGTGAGGATCCCCAAGGAAGTCAGCCAGTAGGTGAAGAAGGGCGAGAAGCTTGGAGTTTAGTCTGATGTGTAAGAGAACTAGGGAACACAAAAGCAAATCTCTTTTTCAGGCGGCTGGCTCTGTCCTATCAGAACATTGACTGCTTTTCAGAAAGCAGAGAGGGAGCTCTTAAAGTCCACGGCTAGTCTGTGCTCCTTCCCCCTGGGCACCGGCTCTTGAAGATATGTTGGAGTTGGACTGTCTGGAAGGCTGATTTGCTTGGGAAAATGAAGCCACTTGTGGGTGTCTCCCTGGCTATAGACCCTGTCACAGCATCCAGCCAAGAAGCCCAGCCCCAGGCCTCCCACCTCCCTTCAGACCACCTGAGGCAGGAGGGCCCTCCATTCACCCCTTTTCTTCTATGAGCTTCACAGGCCAAAGAACTTCTGGAGCAGTAGAGGGAAGAGAGACGTGGAGTAGATGACTCTGTGTATGTCAGTGGTACCTTAGGGCATGTGTCCAGGAAGTGCCAGTGAGTGTTATGAGTCTGGATTAGATAGAAACCTCTACCATCCCTACATTTTCTTGTAAACATAATTTTCCTCTTACATCAACTTTCATTTAATCTCATAGACTCCATTTGTGAGAGATGGTCTTTTATTGAGCTCACCGTTGTCTCCATTTTAGTTTTTCTTGCATGCTTTAAAATCCATTGTTCTGTTTTTTTTTTTTCTTCTGTCCTTCCCCTCCATCTTCATGTTCTTTCACAGTCGATCAAAACGAAACGTAAAAAGAGTTTCCGCCTCTCTCGAAAGTTTCCATTTTACAAGAGCAAAGAAAACATGGCCCAGGAGAGCAGCATACAGGAACGTAAGTAGCAGCAGAGTCCAGAGAGCAGGCCGTCTGCAGCCCTGTCCCCTCATCCTCAGTTGCACCTTCCCTCAGGAGAAGCCAGAGAAGGTCCATGTGTGGCCCCCTGCACACCTGTGTGTGCATGCACCTGCTTATCTGCAGAGTCAGGGCAGAAATTGGTCTGCATAAGGAAGATGTTGGATTTTATTTGTCCAGCTCCTCAGTTAGAATGAATGTTGGAGGCACTGAAGTGAGACTGGTCCCAGGGTCAGTCTCCAGGAAGTGCCTGGCACTAGCAATGGAAATGCCAGACAGAGCTCTGCTGTGGTGGTGAGGAGTGGTTTTTCAGCTAGTGTCAGGGTCAGGTAAATGGTTTTTCAAGAGAACAAGGTCTAGGGGCTCAGTGTTGCTCTCCTGGCTTCTTCCTCTTATGTTTTCTTTCCCTTAACTTCACTCATGTATGTCAAGAGAAGAGCCTTTTCTTCCCATGATCCCTGGAGTTGGGGCTACTTCCGGAATCCCATGCACGTGCATAAGCATACAGGATATCCACACGACTCCCAGCAGACTCGCTGTTATCCTAAAGTGCCTACAGAGCCAGTTTTCCCAGGAGGATCCTTCCTGCCTAAATGAGTTGACATGGAAGGAGTGTTGCTCCACATTGTTCAAATAAACATTTATTGAGAAACACAAAGTTGGTTTGGTAGGAAGAGCAATCACCCTGAGCTAAATTAACCTGAAGAAGAACTTTAATCCTGATAAATCTTCTTGCTCTGCCATGTGCCTCAGAAATTAACTGCTCCAACCCTAACCTTAAACACCAGGCCTGCCTTGAAAAATGTTTTCTCATTTGTCTCATCATGAATGGTAAACATCTCTCATTTACCAGTGACTCCTCTGTCTTACATGGAGGGATCTTGGGGTCTTGGGCTCTTGGGACTGGCAGGGGACTTACTGGTTCTGATAGGAAATGTCCTTTTGTCAGGCCAGTCTGGTCCACGGTCATGGTATGTGGAAGTTATTGCCATCTGGGGTGGTATCTGGTAGACAGAAGGCTGCCCTCATCCAGAGGGCGACCACGGCTCATCATCCTGGGGTAGTTCAATGAGAAGCCATAGATGAGGTGGCTCTGCTCATGAGCAGTTAGGAGACAGTCTGAGACAGAGGTCTGAGCTGATGTCACCATAGTTTCATCCGATGAGTCCTAGACTCCCTCCATGCCAAGCCCAGCCTGGGGAGGTGTTCATTGCTCAGTGGCCCCGCCTGGTGGGCGAGGGGGGTACCTGTTGGACAACAGAGTTGAAAGTTCCTAGTGCCGCTTCTCCAGAAGCTGAGCTCATCCCCCAAGGTGTGCCTGGCTCAGGGCAGCTTTGGAAGCGACACCCCACACCATGCAAAACGTTTCCTGAAGGATTTGAACAGAGTGAGTCAGTATTGGGCGAAAGCTTCTTGAGGTGATGGCAGTTCTGTCTGCCTACCTGGCACATGTGGACATTTGCTCTTTCATGCGCTGTGGAAGGAAATGGTGAGGGCAAACAGACCTAGGCCCCACAGCTACCAATTTGGTCAAAGCAGGTGCTCTAAGCCTTGTTGTATCGCCTGTCCTGTCCATTGGCCTACAGCTGTAGACACTTCAGAAAGCTAGTCTACTCCAAGACCCTCTGGCAACCAATTGGGTAGCATGAAGTCTAGATGTCTTATCTGCCCTGGGATGTTCTTTCTGTGGCAGAGCTCCTGGCCTCACTATAGTGCTAGGTCTTCATGGTGTTTCATAATTCTGTCACTAGTGCTCACCTGCCTCTGTATTCTTCCTCCCCCTTGTCTTTTTCTCTATTTTTTTCTCTTCTCCCCAAATCTCTCCCTCTCTTCCATTCCCTCCCATCCCTTCCCCTTCCCCTTCTTCTTCTCCCCCTCGTCCTCTCTCCATCTTTGCTGTCTGTGAAATCAGGACTTCCCAGGGTTAAGTGACGATTATTATGGAGCAAAGAACCTGAGTAAGTCCACCTTACACACCGTTCACTGTATTTGTGGCATGAATGGAGATAGTGGGGGTGGGCTATTGGGGACATGGGTGAGGGTGAAGGGTGAGGGGAGGGCAGTGTTCACAGCAGGAAGAAGTGCATGTGGCTCCAAATGTTACACATTTGCTCTGGATCCCTAGTACCCTAGTAAGTTCCCATCATTCATGCCTTTATTTACCTTTTGCCACTCAAAGTGGGAGGGCGTGAGGTTGGCATTCCCCATTAGAAGTGAGGTGGGCCTCAAATGTTTCTCCAAGGGAACCACTGAGCTCATCTCTAGCCTATTGTCAAGGGAGGGGTGCCTGCTGGTTGGATTCTTCTCCCAGTGACACCACGCTAAAGAATTGGGTGTAGGAATTGCAGCTCTTACAGTCCCTCTAACTAGGGGCAAGGGTACTGTGACCCCCTTTGCCCAACCTGCATCTGGGATGTCTCAGAAGATCCAGGGCCTCAGCAAACAGCTGCTAGTTGGCTTCCCACAGAGCGCCTGTAAGGGGTTGAGCTGGTAATGCTGGGGGCCTCGGCACCATTTATGGACCATATATAGTTAGTGCTTTATCTCAGGAAAACTCTGACCTCATTTTCCATTCTGGAAAAGAATCCTAGAGTGGAAAATGAAAAAGACCTAGATGATGAGGCCTTAGCAGCCATCCTGCTGCGTGCAAGGGTGCACAGGCACGCAGCCCTGCCGGGTGGGTTCTGTCAGCATATACTCTCCTTCAATAAAAAATAAAGGCCAAAGGCAAAGGAGCTGCCGTTGGGGATTGTTCAGGAACTAGCTATGTGTGGCAAGTCAGCCAGTCCTTTCCAGCGGGGGGCCACAGCATATCATGGTCTGAAACAGTGTGGTCTTGGCTGAAATGAGCAGCATCTCTCTCCATAGTTTGATGTGTCCATGTCTCATCTTCATTCGCCTGCCATCCTGGGTGGGTGGGCTTTGTTTGTGCCTCTCGTGACCACTGCTCCTCTGCTTGAGCTTTCTCTTCCCTCACCACTAAGAGATGGGCAGATCCTAGCTGTGTGAGACAGGAGGGCTGTCTTGTTCTCTTGTTCTCAAGGTATTTTGTTGGTTTTGTTGTCTGTGTTTTGACATGTCTGTCTCATGGTAGATGGAGGTGCTTCCCTTGTCACCACTGAAGCCAAGCTCTGCTGCTTTGGAGTGGTGGCAGGAAGGCTGGGGATCCCACCGAATGGTCAGAACAGTGCTCCCTGGTGTCTGCTTAACCCATACAGTGTTTGGCCTCTTAGTTGTGGAGTGCCACATGGTTGTGTACTTCCGGGGCTCTGTTGGGCGGGGGACACCTATGGGCAGCCTGGTCCCTGGACTTCTCTTTGCTCCTGTCACTGTCTTTTCTTTCCTATTTTTAACCTTGGGAGATGCATTTTGAAATAGGACTTGGAAACCATCCAGGTCAATTTGTTTGATTCAGATGAAGAAGATGCTGCTGAAGGAAGTGTGGCTTGTAGTACATAGGGAGGGACTTGGCAGACCAAGAGGGCTTTGGGGAAAAGTATGAGAGGGCCAGGGGCTCAGGATTGGAGCTGTGCCTCCCAGTTGGTAGCCTGGATGAGGTCTCCTGTGGCCTGACTCGGTTGGCAGCTCAGTGTCTTGCTCCTGGAGCATTTGAGTTTTGTGCTGCATGTGACCTCTCAGTGGTGTGTTCTGAATTGGAGTCTCTTTCTTGTTGGCTTGCAGAGGGAGTGACATCCAACACCAGTGACAGCGAAAGCAGTTCCAGTAAGTGTGTGTCATTCCTTCCATGTCGTGTAGCTCCACCATGTATCCCAGTCATCCTCATTCCAGTGTTGCACAGCTGCCATTGCTGCTCAGAGGCTGGTGCTTCTTTTAGCCATGTACACTTTGAGATCCTGGAAATGCTGTGGCCAGTTCATTCTCCTTATGAGTTGGGGTTCACCCTGTGGATTAAAGGAGAGTGTAAACACTATAGCTCTGGCCAGAACCTGAATTAAAAGCATCCCTGGCAGTGGGAAGGGTGACCTGCTAAAGAGTAAATTCCTGCCATGGGTACTGTGGGCCATAGGTGTTGCCAGGTTTAGATTTGCTCAGAGACCAAAAGAAAACTGGCTCCTATAGGACACTGCCCTGAATCTGCCTTTCTGGGTCATTAGGATCCCTTTGCTTTTGGGGCTGGTTAAAGGATCAGGTAAATTGCCCAGTTCTCCTTGGGAGATCCTTGACCAGACCAGAGAAACCATAATTCAAACCTCATGAACTTTGGGAGCACTGGTCTTTCAGGAGCTATGGTGGCTAGAGGCCTTGTAAAATCTGCCCAGGAGTCTTAGGCTCAGAAGAAGCCTTTTAGCAAGCATTGTGTGCCTCGATGCAAATATCACTGTCTTCCCTGGGACTGCCATCAGCCACTTTGGAAACTCCAGGCACCCAGTACCGAGTGGCTTGCAGACTGTTTTAGGAAAACCTCAACATTGCTAGGCTCAACATGGAGCTCTACCTGGAAAAGACATCAGGTTTGGCATTGCTCTTAAGGGGTACTGGGGACCTTAGCAGAGCCATGTGCCACTTTTCTGGATGCTTCTTCTAATGCAGGAGGTGGGTAGGTAGACCCTTAAAGGGCAAAGTTAGGCTGCAACTTTGGGGACCTGCATGTGTGCCCTGACTCCCCTGCATGCAGATGAAGGGGACTTGGGCAAGCGTCTCAACTGGTCAAAGCATCCCTGTCATTCTTACCAGAACAAGGGGACTGCTGCGCACACTTGTTAGAAGAGTTCCTCAGAAATTGGGGTGGTTTGGGGTGGAGGCTTCATGGCTTCTGGGCCTTGGCCCTTTGCCCAGTGATATTTCACTGAACAAGAGAACTGCTGACTCCTGTCTGGGAGCCAGTGAAGGGTTTCCTGTGCTTTCTCACCATCAGAAAACAGAAAGGATCACAGGTGGTAGGTGGTAGCAAGGACCACCCAGTATGGCTGTATCCTGGCAGGGGAGGGTGTGGGGAGTGTTGTACAGAAGGAGACAGGTCATACGGTGCTAACTTAGCTCGCTTTTTTGTTGCAGAAGGACAAGAGGATGCTATTTTGTCATATGAGCCAGTGACACGGCAAGAAAGTAAGCCCCCTTTTGAGAGCCTCGTCTTTGTGCTCGTGTCCTGTCATGGGGCTCAATATGCTGGGTGGCTGTGGCAGCAGAGGGAGGGACCTGGAGGAGGAGGAAGGTTCCACTCATGGCACATCCAGCCCCAGGGCTCCTCCTTCTCTTCTGCTTCTCCCCCAGTGTCATAGGGAAGGGGGTGCCTCTGCCTGCTGCCAGGACACCTTCCAAAGGAGGGGCAAATTTCCAAGGAGGGTCTATTTCAGTAGACGCAGCCACTGCGCAAAGAGAGGTCCAGGTTATTCCCTTCAGTGGCTCCTCTGTGAAAATCTTGCTCAGCTACTGGTGTCAGTGCAGAGATTCTTTTCTTACTCAGTTAGAAGGGGAGCAGCTTCTGGTTTCAGACTTGCCTTGAACTTAGATATTCTCAAATTAAAGGCTCTTTGATGTCTTTGTGTTTAAAAGTCAGACAATGGCCGAGGATGCTTCACCCTGTCTGAGTCTCTGCTGCAGAGCCTCTGTTCTAGCCAGACTTGGGGGTAGGACAGGCTGTCTGGTGGGGGCCTCTGTTCACTGTCTCAATGCTCTCCCTCTCTAGTTCACTATGCAAGGCCTGTGATCATCCTGGGCCCAATGAAGGACCGAGTCAATGATGACCTGATTTCTGAATTTCCACATAAATTTGGATCCTGTGTGCCACGTAAGAGTCCAGGAAGGCCCAAAGGAGTGAGGCTTGGTGCTCTGGGAATTGTTGCTCTAATGTTTTATGGAAAAGGTCTGGGATCAGATTCTAGGGCTCTTTGGGGACAGGGTACATTTGACACCCTGGAAAAGAGTGGGTGGCAATATATTCCCCAAAAGCTGACAGGGTTGGAGAGATTAAGCCATCAGGCTTGGCTGCTCATTCCCTTGGGGGAAAGATTCAGTGGTGATGGTTGGGAATGATTGGATAAGTAGGAAGGTCCAGCCAGAGTGGTGTTGATGTGACTCCATGAACAGTTTGTTAGGTTCACTGTCTCCTCCACCAAGTATGGCACCTTCTGCCATGCCTTAGCTCAGGAAACCTCACCTTTCTGGTCCAGTTTAAGCTAAAGCAAATAGCTCCCTGTGTGAGACCTGGAGATTGGAAGAGAAGTAGGGAAGACAAACTCCTTCCCAACTGCTTTTTTCTCCCACTTAAAGTGGAGTGGCCCAGTGACCCACCCAGATGAGAATGGACCAGTCAGTATTTTTTGGCTCGGGGTAGATCATTGACCCTGGGCCACAAAGTGTTCCCTTTCTTCCTTCAGATACTACCCGGCCTCGGCGTGACAATGAGGTGGATGGACAAGACTACCACTTTGTGGTGTCTCGAGAACAAATGGAGAAAGATATTCAGGACAACAAGTTCATTGAGGCGGGTCAATTTAATGATAATCTCTATGGGACCAGCATCCAGTCAGTGCGGGCAGTTGCAGAGAGGGTAAGTGTAGAGGAGATGGCCTCAAAAGGAAGGCCAGTGCTCGTGCCAAGCCTCCACTTGAATCCTTATCCTTCCCCCACAGGGGCTGCCCAACAGTGCTACTGACCAAAGCCGTGGCACCTCTGCGCATTCCCAGCCCCTTGACAAAGCTGTCTGTCTCCTTTGTACAACTCATTCAGAGATTCACCCAGAAGGGAATGGGGGCCCTGGACAGATGTGGCCTTTTCTGGGCAATAGCAAAAAGTAGGGTCTGTCTCCTTCAGGGATTGAATTTTTTAGGCCAGTTTGGGTGGCCCTGGTGCCCCTCCCCTTGCCCCCACCTGCAGCCAAGATGGATGTTTAGAATGTCACTGGATTTCTGCCTGGGGCTTCGTGAATAGGGACTGACACAATCTCTGCTTTTTCAGGGCAAACACTGCATCTTAGATGTTTCCGGCAATGCTATCAAGAGACTGCAGCAAGCACAACTTTACCCCATTGCCATTTTCATCAAGCCCAAGTCCATTGAAGCCCTTATGTAAGTGTTTAACTGAGGACTCAGACATACCAAGCTAAGATTGGGCCTGGAAGGGAACTGGAGAACAAAGTGATTTGTTGGGCAGGGGTAGGAACATCAGCAACTTGAAAGAAACTCTTGGTCCCAGCTCTGGTCACTGGGTGCTCCTGTTATAAGGGCTTTTGTCTGTGTTCTTGGTTGGACTTTTGAACCCAGAAGGTTTGAGGAGTTAGCCATGGGCCACTGCTGCTCTGAGAGGGCAGCTTAGCAGATTTTTAGGGATCCTGGAATAATCCTTGGATGAATCAGAACATAAGATCTGGTTCGGAACTATTTTTCTTCTGTCTTTGGCAGGGAAATGAACCGAAGGCAGACATATGAACAAGCAAATAAGATCTATGACAAAGCCATGAAACTGGAGCAGGAGTTTGGAGAGTACTTTACGGGTAAGACTCCTGCCACCCTGCGGGGGGTACTGTGGGACTAGCCAGGCACCTGTTTCTATAAGTGTCTCAAAGAGGTGTAGACAGAATGTAGAAATCTTGCATGGAGTTTCCAGTTGCTTTTAAGCTTTTGAGCACAAACCTTTCCAAGGCACTCAAGTTCCCTGTGTCCAGCCATAGCAGTTCAGCCAGTTGACAACATACACCTCTCACCAAATGCTTCCTTGAATTGTTGGTTTGTTCATTCTGTCTTGTCCCTACTAGATCGTAGGCTACCTGTGTTACTCTGTCTCCCTCTGTTTTTGCTCCACTCCCCCACCCCAGTACTTGACTTTGCATGTTTAGGTGCTGAATAAACGTTTGTTGATGATGAGGATTCCTCGGTGTGGTGTTCAAGTTGTCTGTCGGTGTGTGTTTGTGTGTGTGTATGATCATCTACTTTAGAAGGTCAGTTCCTGAAACATTGGGAAGGTTTCTATGTAATATGTTCTTCACCTTTTGAAGTACAGTGACATATATATATATATATATATGTGTGTGTGTGTGTGTGCAGGGCAGTGCTGAGTCCATTTTAGCTGGTGGTGCCACTAGGTTAACTGGGTAAAGAATTCATACATGTCCTCACACACCTTGGGTCTTCAGAACTCCCTTCACCATCAGCATCCATGTCCTTGTTTGCTGGGCTGACCTCTGACATATAGCGGATGTGAAGGGCCCAGGAGCACTGCCTCTTGCCAGAAACTGTGGCTTTCAGTTCTTTCTGTGGAGAACTGGGATTTTCCACATCTTTTAAGTCTGCTTTAGAATTACAAGCTACTGGCTTTATGGCTCCCAAGAGTAACATGAACTGCATGGTCTGGGATGTAGTGGGTGCTCAGTAAACGTCTTTTGAATAAACACATTTTTCTGGTCATTGCTACTTAGTCTCACTGTCTCAGTGAGTTGACTTCAAGTCCTGAGCTTAGGGCACCTAGTTCGTTGCCCTTATTGCCCTGACCACACAGGCCAGTGAACCTAAGCCCAAACCCATACTCCTGGAAACATGTCTTTCATGTGAGGGGCAGGGGGTGGGGGAGAGGAGGTCTTGTAGGATTGCTGGGAGAGGCAGGATTGCTGGGTTTGGGGGATGTGCTGTGGACCACATTAATAATTTTGTTTTCCTCTTCACTTTAGCCATTGTACAGGGTGACTCACTGGAAGAGATTTATAACAAAATCAAACAAATCATTGAGGACCAGTCTGGGCACTACATTTGGGTCCCGTCCCCTGAAAAACTCTGAAGAATCCCCTCCAACCATTCTCTTGTGAACAGAAGAAATCAAGTCCCTCTTCCCTCCTCCCTCTTCATTCCTGTCCCCATGGGGAGAACAAATGCTATGTTCTTGTCCCCTTTTTTAGATATGTCAAAAAAAATTGAGTTTTCTAGTCCTGTTTTTTTTTTTTTTAAATTTTTTTGTTTGTTTTAGTTTATTTTTTGGGATGATGCCATCTCACTCATCATGTGACTGTGCCCATTCCTGCATGGACCTTTCCCAAGCGCTAGCACAGGTGCAAAATCCATCAGAGCCATTGTTTTCATAAAACCAAGCAGAAGTGAAGAGAAAAGAGGAGGACTGATGGAAAGACAGACTGGACAGCTGCACGGCTTGTGAAGTGAGCTAAATGCACCACATGATGAGATGCTCCTGGGCATTTCTCCCTATCTGTACTGCTGTCTTGCAGCTCTGAATGGTGCAACGTAATGGCGACAGAAAGTATCTTATTTATATATAGATATATATATGTAATTTATATAAAATATATAGAAATTATTATATATATATATTATACACTCTCATATAATATATATATATATTCACACACATTTGGATTAGAAAATCTATGGAGACTTCATCAATGGTACTATGTTATTAGAGAAATGCTTTAATTTTCATATTCCAATCAGATGGCATCTTCTATCCCAGCTGGTTGGGAAGGGATTGAAGATGGTAGCAGGTGCTGCACTAAGGGCACTCGCATTTGGTCATTCTCTTGAGAGCTAGGAGGAGTCAGCCTGAGGCCTGAGAGAGAGGGCTTTTGCCTGGGGCAAGAGGGTTAGAGACTTGGCCTGAAAGCAGCTGCTGCCCCTGAGGTGCAGCCAGTCCTGTGTGCGGAGGGAGAGAATGGCTAATGATGCTCCCTGTGGAATTGCCTATTGTTTTATGCCACCTGATGTGTCTGCATGAGAAGTTTCCTTTTTGTTCCTTTTTAAGCTGCTGTTAAACCAAAACCATGTTGTGCTACTGTGTCAGCCTTTTCATTACTGCAAATTTTACTTTGACTATTTAAGTGAATGCGTACAATCCAATTTGCCAAGGTTCTAAAGGCTTATGAGGTCCTGAAGGAGCCAGGCCTTGTGATGGAGTAGGCGACCCAGGCCTGGTTGTCCTGTCAGCAGAAGGGAGAGCAGGGGCTAGGCTGAGAGGAGGACATGCAGTGCTCTGCTGAGGTTCCTCCCTGGGTTCCACCAACAGGGACGGGGAGTCACTTGCCTTCCAGTTCTATGCTGGGATGGCAGGACAGCACTTGGCTTGCTTGGCCAGCCGTGTCATGAGTTTGATGTGGTTTTTTTTTGGTTTTGTTTTGTTTTGTTTTGTTTGCAGCTGCTTCATATGCTCTGCTCCAGCCCCTCCCCCAAAGCTGGTAGCTTACGGTTTCTTCAAGAGGAAAGTAGACTGACTTTATGCTGTATATTTGAGCTGTAGAGCTAAGATTCGCTTACTGGTGAGCTGTGAAACCTTGTTGCTTTTTCTCAGAGTCTGATGGCAGTGACTGTGGTCAAGGGAGTCTTCACCACCACAAGTGCAGGCAGCAGCTGCAGGTCAGGTCCTCCCCCGCGACTGTGCTCCTTTGAAGCCAATGTGCCTCCCTCGCCTCCATACTGGAGAGACGACACCGGGGAGAATGGAGAAGTGCTTGGCCCTAGGGTTGAGGCAGTTGTTTCCTAGCCCGCTGGGTTAGGGCTGGTTGCCCGCGAGGCGATGTTGAGGATGCTTTAAGCACTACCAGCCAAATTCCAGAACTCTGTTAACAATTATCCGACCAGCAGAACGAGACTAATTGTATAAAGCATGCGACCCAGAATGAGGATAAGGAAAGGGCAGCAGCTTTTCCTGGGCAGTACACTGGCTTGAAGGCAAAGAGGGATACAGTGACAGCCGACTGTGACTCGTGAGGAGGGGGTGAACAGGGAGTGTTGATTGTCTGATGTTAACTAAGTGGTGAAGTCTGAACCATGCTCAGCCCTCCCCCCTCCCAGGGAAGAGAAACAAAGATTCAAAGTAAGCATGACGCTAGCTGGTTTACCAGTGTTCCTTCCAAGGAGACATATATTTTTTAATAAACGATAGTTGCAATGAACTATGGCTCAGAGACCTTCTTGAAGTAGTTGAGAAGGGAGGGCGTGGGCAAAGCAGTGGGAAGAACATCCCAAACTTTTGGGGGCCAGAGGGCTCAATCCTTAGCGATGATCAGCTAGCCAAGCTGGGCCGTCCTGGGGATTGGCACAACTCCCTGGGGTGGTGACAGGCCCTTTGTGAAAGGTGTGTGCTGGGTCTTCCACCCGAGTCCCAGACACTGCTTCAAACAGCAGCAGCCAGATGGGAGTCCACATCTGTGGAGGCAAAATGCTGACATTTTCCCAAGAGGTACATAAGGTGGGAGAGGCCTGCTGCAGCAAAGGTGTGAATTAGCGAAAGCAGGTGACTGATTTAGTAGCAGAGAACTGGGTGAGAAAAATGGCCAGGGAAAGTGACCTGCCAGCTACCAGTGTTTCCAAAAATGAGGATGGGATGGGCCCAGTTTGCAGAGCAGGGCAGCAGTTATCCCCACAGCCCTCTGAGGAGGGGAGGGGTGCTTAGAGTGGGCAGTTCTGGCTGTTCTGATGTGGCAGACGCCATTGCAACTTGTGCGGAGGAGGAAGTGCTGTCATAATTCATAAGGTCAAGAGCAACATCTGGATGAATGAGCCACTTGAAATGTGTGTGGTCTGAGCCACAGGAAGGGTCAAGCCTCTTGCTTGTGGTGCTTTATGGTGTGTAGGTTGCTTGCTTTCCCACATGCTCTCATTTGCTAGAAGGCAGCCCAGCAAAAGGGAGTCCCCGAAGAGCTCCATGAGAGCTCCAGAAAATTCATCTCCTGAGGGCAAAGAACAAAGATCCGGCCTATGGCCATGCTGCTGAGGCTCTGTCTTCACAGCTGATGTTCTCCTAGTGGAGGTACAGCTGAAGAACATCCAGCTCCAGCACAAGAAGAAACAGAGCAACTTGGAAACCCCAAAGGGAGCCGCACCCTTAACACTGTGCCATGCCGTGCTGTGCTGTGTCCTGAAGGAGGATAGATCCCTGTCTCCTCCTGGTTTTGTTGCTGACATTACAAGGATCATGCCTTGACTCCTTCATCTCTAACAGAGGAAGAAGTGTATTATCAAACCTTATGGTCTACCATGACTAAATAAAATATTTGTTCGATCACAAATGACCAGCTTTGTCTTAAGTTGAAAGCGCTTCTAGAAATCAGGTAATGAAAACAAAATCCTTACCTGAAACAAGTGTGGAAGTGAGTGGCTCAAGGGTGGAGCTAATACACATGCAGAAGCAGGTGGGAGTTGAGCCACAGGTTTGGGAGGAGCCTAGAGGGGAAGTATCCTAAGCAGGCCAAGGCCAAGCCAAAAAGGGTGGCACTGAGAAGGGGTGCAGCTTGAGCAGAAAGGCCAGCACTCAAGGCCAGTGGAGCCCTTTCTGCAGGGGTAATCCTTGCTTAATACCAACCGTGGCAATTAGGTGAGAAAGTGTTCACAGAGCTGGTGATGTTCTCAAGGGAAGCTGACGAATTAGCACTGAAGTCAGAAGCAATCCTGGATGCCCAACAACCTCAGCCTGGGCCTTGGCAGTGTTCATTCAGTCTCGGCATTCCCAAGTTGTGTATTTCATCCCTGTTCCCACCTAGGATTTTATGGCCTTGATTCCACTAATCCTTTTATCCAACCAGCCATTTCCTTGGCACCTCTAGGACATTTTACTATCATTGCAAATAACATTCTGAAGCTCGAATTTGTTTCCTCAAAAGCCTCTTCCCCTGTCACTTCCAAGAAATAGTACTGGCTCCTGTATACCTCCCTTCCTCCCCAGTGAACAGGGTGTCGATTCCTCATGCTTTGCCAGAAAATAGCAGAGCTTTAACAATGAAGCCCCAACTAGATTTTATCTGCAGAGCTGTTCCCACTGTGCATAATGTGATGCCCACTGGCTTTTTCCATGTTACACTGAATGAACTACCTCTGTGGCCATCCCTCCCCGACTACTGGTAGTCTAAGCACACGTACCTAATGCTTCAAAGAACTGGAAAGTGGGTGGTTTGAGAACAGGCTTTAGACTGTGTTCTTCCAGTGAAGAGCATGTGTGAGAGGATGCTCTGTCACCTGGACCTTCCTGTCTGCCTACAGCCAGTCCTGCCTAGGCTGTCAGAATCATCTGTATCACGCTCCCTACCCCTCCTGTGGGTCCTGCCACCCACGGAGAAGTCAAAATCCCAGATCCTTAGCATGGCCCTTCCACCATCAGGCACCAGGCTTTCTTTCCTGTCTCTTCTGCTATGGCCCCTTCTGTTCTAGGCATTTGAGTTCCCTGGATGTACCACAGCCCTGAGTCTTGGCTCATCCTTTTTGCGTGTGCCCATAAATGCCCTCATTGCTACCCCATCCTGCTTAACCTGAAGATACTCCTTGGGGGCGGGGAGGGAAGGGAGAGACAGAGAGACAGGGTCTCATCTGTCTCGCAGGCTGGAGTGCAGTGGTGTGATCATAGCTCACTGCAGCTAGCCTCCACCTCCCAGGCTCAAGTGATCCTCCCACCTCAGCCTCATGAGTAGCTGGGACCCCAGGAATGTGCCACCAGACCCAGCTAATTTTTGTATTTTCTGTAGAAACAGAGTTTCACCATCTTGCCCAGACTGGTCTCTAACTCCTGGGCTCAAGCAACCCCCACCCCACCGCCTCGGGCTCCCAAAGTGCTGGCATTACAGGCATGAGCTGCCATGCCCAGCCTCCTCTTAATATTTCAAGACTCAATTCAAGAATTCCTCTCTCAGTGCTCCCTTTCCTGAACCACCACCTCTTCTTCCCTATCACTCCCTAGGTAGAACCGACCCTCCCACCCTGAGTGGTGTATTATATCCTGTAAGGACTTCGGCCATCACTGTAGCAGCTCACATTTATTTCCTGCTATGTGCTGGGCATTGTACCAAGTGCTATATGTATACTAAATCACCTGTTGCTCAAAACACCCCTAGAAGATAGAAGGCAGTTAGTTACTCTTTTTTTTTTTTTTTTTTTTTTTGAGATGAAATCTTGCTCTGTCACCCAGGCTGGAGTGCAGTGGTGCGATCTCAGCTCACTGCAACCTCTGCCTCCTGGGTTGAAGCGATTATCCTGCCTCAGCCTCCTGAGTAGCTGGGATTACAGATGCACCACCATATCCAGCTGATTTTTGCATTTTTGGTAGAGATGGAGTCTCACCATGTTGGCCAGGCTGGTCTTGATCTCCTGACCTCAAGTAATCCAACCGCCTCGGCCTCCCAAAGTACTGGGATTACAGGTGTGAGCCACGTGCCCAGCCCAGGTACTCATGATCCCTGTTTTCCAGATGGGGAAACTGAGGCATACAGCTAATAAGTAGCAGAGCTATGAGAGCAACACAGGCTGTCTGGCTGTAGCAGCTGTGCTCTTCAGTACACCAGGCCCAGGCTGCATCTCACTTTGCTCTCCTTAGAACATTTCTTGCCCCATCTCTTTGCATCTGTCTTCTCCTAGACTCCTCTTTGAGAGCAGAGACTATGTCCCATTCATCTTTATGCCCCCAGCACTTAGTACACTATCTGGCACATAGTAGATGCTCAGTAAAAGAAAAGAGCTGCGCTGGTCTTTGGCTCAAGCTTGGAGGGAAGTGATTTGACCAGGTCCAAACCTGTGGCGAGTGTGAATTCTTTTGGTTTGTTTTTTTGGAGAGCTTCCTTTCTGGAGCCACTGCTGCTTCCTCTGGCATCTCATTCCATCATTAGGACTCCTCTCTTTTTCATCTTCATTCATTTCTGATCCTTTATTGCTCCTTCCCTTTCTTTTCACTCTGCTGTCTTCTCACCCAGGGCCGAACCTTCTACCTGCCCTGTTCCCCTTTACTAACCATCACTCGTTCATGCAACACAAGTTGATCAAGCATCCAGAAGCCCTCAAAGACCAGCCATTACTTCCCAAGCATGAAATTCCAAGACCCTAGATGGGAAAATGCTATGCCCCTGCTCTCCCTGATGACTTCATTTCTTTCCAATCCCGCCCCACCCCTTCCATGGGCTCCTCCCACCTACAGCTCTGATCCCTTTGCTCTCTCTCTTCCCCAACCCAAAGTGCTGTTGTTGCACTTGTCATCCAGTTCAAGCCCTGATCTACCCCTTCTGGTCATCACATCCAATCTCCTACTAAAACGTGGATTATTTACAATGTCTTTTCAATCCAGTCTTTTGTTGTCATCACCGCCCCTACCCTTGTAGTGACAAGAGCTACTTCTTGGTGAACACCTGCCAAAAAGCATTGTGTTTTGATGCTGGAAAGACAATGGCAAATAAAGCCTGTTTTCAAGGGGCCTGTCAGCTAGTTGGGGGCAGGGGACAGCAAGGCAGGAAATGACTAAATACATAAGTACACATTTGAGTGAATGCCATGAAGGAAACACACAGGATGCAATGATAGAAAAGGTGTGCAGGACGGCTTCTCTGAGGTGAGACCTGTGAGATAAGCAGGACCAGCCTGGTAGGGGAGGGGACGTGGGGTGTCGGGGAGGGAAGTATTTAACACTCCACTGGCCCTAATCTGCTTGTTCAGCATTATCTCCTGATAGTTCTTTACAAACCAATCTAGACTCCGACTTTTTACCCATGAGCAAAACCTCTGTCTGGAGTGTTTCTAGTGCCCATCTCTAATGAAACGCTTCAAGCTCCAGCTCAATGTCACCTTCCATGATCATGTCGCTGGTCACTGCAGAAAAGCTGCCCCTTCCCTCCTTTGGAACCTCTCTAGCAGCTGGTACTGAACACACTTTGTTCCTGCAGGGTACCGATTTGTCAATAATACACTCTCCAACCATCAAAAAGCTTCTAGAAGGCTGGGACGGCATCTGGTCTATCTTTCTATCCCTCATAGCACATGCCTTGCACATGACAGATACTCAATAAATGATTTGTGAATGAACTTCCCCTTTCTGAGCCTCACTATCTTACTTTAAAACATGAAGAAGCTAGACAGATAATCTCCAAAGCCTCTCCCAGCTCCCACACTTAATGATCATGGTAAAATAATAGAATTCTAAAGGGCATGTGCTATGCTGAATCTCTCACAAAAAGCCAGTTCACACTTTTTGTGAATTTGCGGTTTAAAAAACCAAATGGTGACGCAGATGACATAAAAGGCTTAAACAGAGTTGTCAAAGAACATGGCGCTTGAGCACATTCGGTTTATACACAATCAGACACTACAGACCGACAGGCTTGGTGCCTGCTGTGAAGAGGCAAAGGACCCCTGGGAGATGCATGGACTTGGACCGGGGAAATGGCCTTTTTCTACCTGGGCAGAAGGGTCGCATTCCAGGGCACCTGAACAAAATGGAAAACTTTGTGATAGAATCACTTCTTCCAGTCGGGCAAAGAAATGGTGTTAGGGAAGTATGGGAATGGAGGTGCCCAAAGTACCACAAAATGGATGCCCTCCTAAGTAGAGTGGAAGTGGCCTAGTGGCTCTTGCTGAGAGCCATTTGAGGTGGGTGGGAGGGTGGTGTGGGGGCTGGGCACATGGGAGCCATAACTAGGAGGTGTAGAAACTGCCCCCGTGCCTTGCAAGGAGTGAAGTTACCAGATTTGTCTTTTAGTTGAAGCAATTGCTGGCTTTGTGGATGTTAGAGACAATGGAAGCTTTTCAACTTTCAACTTTTCTTGAAAAAATAAAAAGGCTGGCAACTAGGTTTGCAAACTGCCACTCTCTTCTGGCTTATCAGAGAGATTGGGAGAAATGCAACAAAGGGAAAAAAAATGAGGTAAAAGTAAACAGATCATGCTGCTGAGTAGAGGAATGTCAAAGGGGGAAATGACAGACACACACTTCAGGGTCTCTTAGCGTTCACGTCACTAAGGGTGAACTGGGTCATTCTAGAGAAGAAATAACAAGAAACAATAGAGAAGGTAAAGGGGAATAAAAGCCAGAGTCAAGAGTGTGAGCAGAAGACTAGAAAAAAAAGAGAGAGAGAGAGAGAAAAACGCCTGCATCACTGCAGCTGGCCTATAATAACAGGTCAGAAGCCTTTCCAGGAGGTGGTAAATAGAGATCTGGAGAATGAGAGACTGACGAGAGATGGCAAGATTTAGTGGTTGCTGGTGACCCTGCCAGACAGCAAGAACAGAATAACGACAGCAAACATTAGAAAGCA